AAAAAAAAAACAACAGCAACAGAAACGATCAGAAAAGTTATCATTCTTGTTATAGAATCTGTTAGTTCTACCTCTGACCAGATTTTCCTTGAGTTAGTAGGCTGTGCACCAAGTCAAAGACATCACATGATGTTTGGATCCAAGCTACCAAAGTAACTCAATAATTACTTAGAAATAACTGCCGTGGTTCAATGGACGGTGATCTGGGCTCTAGGTTGAAAGGCCTGGATCCAAGACTTGGCTGTATCAAAGTGTTGTGTTCCTGGACAAGAGATTCTATTCTCACAGTGCCCCTCTCCACCCACTAGTATAAATGAGTACCAGAAAACTATGAGGGAACTGGACAAAATGGTTGGGGGTAGGGGAGGGGGAAGACAACTTGCAACAGAGTGGCATACTTATCCAAGGGGAGTAACACTCTTCACACTACAGAAACTGGGATGTCCTTTACTGCTCTGGCCATAGGGCTCTAGAGTACCCTTTCTCTTGTCCAGTAATGTAAAGTATGTTCTCACGCCCATTCAAATTCCATGCTAAGTTGCATTTTATTTTACCTTGTTATTGCTGAGGAACATTTTAAATGTGAACAATCTTTAATCAAGCAATGATTGGATTGTGTACTTCTAGTCAGTGTACTTACCTTATATTCTGTTCCATCTGCACATTTCACTTTAATATAATCACCACACTCTTCAAGATGCACCACACAGCTGTTTAGTTTTACTCTATCTGATGAAACCAAATCAAACCCTCTGATGGAGATGATCAGCAAGTACTGAACTTCAGTTTATGTAACATAAAATGACTACCCAATAAATTTCGTGGTTGAAGTTCCGACTTAAAACACAGCTACCTATAAGTTACAGACAGATCACCAACAGATTAATGACTGTTGGCCATTATGTCACCAACAGGCCTACTTAAAACTGTTGGCTGACAGTTAGCCAACTGTTGGCTGCCTGTCAGTTGACTATTGGCCAACTGTCAGTCAACAGGTTCTTTTCAGGGAGTTGTTCTTTACAATTACACTGTAGGCATGTTATAATTTTCATCAATGAAATATTACCCAGCCCTTCATTGTGCTCTCCATCAGTTCTGATTGGCTTTTTAAAAGGAGCAAGATGGGCATATCTATTCCCCAAGGAATTCCTCAGTTTAATCCCACAAATAAAAGTTGCTTGAAGCCATTTTTTATCCACTAACATTGAAAAGTGAATATGTCTATTTTATATATTTTCTTTTTGCATTTTTACAGAATGGAATGAAGTCGAAGTTTTATATATTAAAGCACTTAAAAAAATTTCTCAGGTCTAGCTCTTTTTTTTTTTCCTTCACACTTTGGAAACAAATATTTGGTGAACAAATAAAGATCTTGAAAACAAAAATTACTTCTCACCACCAAGATGTTCAGCCATTTTCACACTTATAGTCTGAGAACCTCCACAAAATTTCATTTCCTAGTTTCCGGAAAAAAAAAAAAAAAGCTTTTGAATAACACAAAAATCACAGCAATACCATAATCTGTGATTAATAACATTCCAAAGAGTAATCAAAAGCAAAGTTCAGAGCTTTTAGTGACTGGCATCACTGCAGAGTAACTTCTCCTGATTGACAGTATCCTGTATATGACTTTATTATCCAAATGTGCTTCGTAGAATACAAATAACGCGGGAGACGAGTACAAATATCCCGCAATATTTGTACTCCAGAAATATCTGCAAAATTCACCCGCTCTGAAATAACAATTTGGCATCTGGGATAATAAATTCTTACTAGACATTTTGTTGTGTAGTATCACTCAGTATTATTACTCGTTGTTTGTATTTTGACTCACCCTTTGGGCTCGTCAAAATACAGGTGCACAACTCATAAAAATACTCAGCGATACTACACAACAAAATGTCCAATAGAATATATGTACTAAAGCTGTTTATCTTCTTTCTTGATTCAATACCTGTTTGATTTAACAGTGATAAGACAAGTGAACAAACCTGGCCCCCTCCTGCTTCAAATTCAATGTTTCGCTTTGTCCCTATACAGAGAAATATAAGCATCCTAACTCAAATTGATAATTTTACAAATCTTTTCAATAATAAACAGCTTGCATGATCATTTCTTGAGTCATCACTTAAAACAATAAATGCACTTATCACTCACAAGACTGAACCATGAAGAGCACAATGTAAGTTTAGATTATACTTGGACATTCAAATAAATTAAAAGGAAAAAACATTGCAAAACCTTACCATAATCTTTCTTAACAACTCTAATTATGCAGCCTGTAATAAGAGATTCTATTTTGAATTCCTATTTTCTGCACCATTTTCATAGAAAAAGAAAACTGGTATGAATAAGTTGGCTGTTGACTGCTGGAAAGTTGCAAAATTTTGGAATATCCAAGGCATGCTCAGCAGAAAGCCTTCTCAAATTCTATGCTTACTGTACATTTAAGGTCAATTAAAACAAACCATCCAAAGCATAACTGAATCTAAAATATACCTCCTCCAGAATGCAGATACCACAGGAAAAACAACAGAGAGATATCATGTGGCTCTGAAGTGAGAATTCCTTGCACATATGCAGTGGCTGCAGCCTTTGCATACCTGTGAGTAGTAAGCAAAAGTATTTACTCAGTTAATATAAGGACAAAATTTTACAACAGAGTGTTTGTGAAGCATCAGATGTCAGAGAATTTTCCTCAAGCCTTTTACACCTAGTTCTCTGCCTAAATTTCAACAGCTTCAACTAGTTTTTCGATCTGACCTTGAGAGTATTTTCCTGTCACCTTTCATTGTTCTTCATCTCAATAAGTACCACATCCATCAGCAAATACTGCGCAATTAACAGCACAATTTTAAGATCATAACTTTGGACTACACTAAAGACATGTTTACCAGTTCATATTCCTATCTTAAAAATTATTAATTCTTGAAAAACAGAACAAAAAATTCTATGGTTCACTGTGCCTGTATCCAATATGTTATAGCTAGTACCTTAAAAGTATAAATTAAAGCAAAAATATCATGTGTTTATATTTAGCTTTAATACCAGTAAAATCATGGTATAACCTTTACTCCTTAGGTCTCAGAAGTGATTAACATGTAATTTCTCCTTATAATATCTATACATCATCATCATCATTATCATCACCATTTATATTTAGTAATGCAGGTTACAAAAGATTATTGGCAGCCTGTGAGGCTGATGTGGACCCACAATTAACTAACAAAATGTGAAGTAATAAACAAAATAATTTATACAAAAATTACCCTGTGATATTTTTAAATATTTAAAAATATAAAACTGACCATAATTACATTAAAAGTAACTTCAGTATCAAATCAATAAAATGAAGTCATAGACTGATAAAATTTCAAGCTGATCTATAAACTTAGGTACAATATAACAATACTTAAAAATATACAAAATCTTGGTCTTTCATTGCTATCATCTAGCAAACATGTAACGAGCATATTATATATTAAAAAACTTATGACAGAGGTAGAAGTTATTATCTTGATAATACCAAATTTTTGTAACTAATTTACAAGGAAATGTGTAGCAGCTGAAGGAGAGAATTAACGATCAGATCTTGAATATTAAAGCAATCTTCACAGTAACAAACTCTACTTGAGCAGTAGTCAAAATAAGGCTTAGAAAAAAATTCAACCCTACAGGATTTGAACCCATGACCTCTGCGATACAAATGCAGTGCTATACCAACTAAGCTAACACTCTAACAGGCAGCTGGTTGTGTTAGTTAGCTGGTTTGGTATAAACCCATGAATTGATGAATAAGTGACTTTGAATATATGAAAATCAGATCTTGGGGATTGAGGGGTTAAGGGAAGTATCACAAGATGCGTGTCAGTATTAGGCTTGATTTCCGCCGCACTCTGGAGTCCGGTCTTTTTCGTTCCTCCTCCTGGGTTTGGGGAGGAGCTCTGGTTCCTAAACAACAGGTGGTAATTGAGCCTATGTGTCTATGAGCTGGTGTTTCTTTACAATGATATAGCAATTAGTACTGGTAATTAATTTATTTATCCATAGGATTTTCTTGGTTCTTGTTTCTTCTTTACATCCAAACAAGGAGCCTATTTATAACTTCTTGTACAAGGTGTGAACAGAGTTATTTTTTATTGTTCTACCTTGTCCAACACTTTTGATCAATCAACTGCTTGACTGTCATCTTATCCCATTCTAAAGCACAAGGAGCATTCCAAGGGTCCTCTAAAGGAACCTGTTTGGCCATTTTGTCCAGGAGCTGCCAGAAGTTGTTAACATCTAAGGCACCTAATATGGACCCCATGGAAGGAAGGGCTCCTTGCTTGGTAATTCTTTTGCCCTGAAATTGGTCAACAGCATCATTATTAAATAATAATTATATAGTAAAAATGCTCCACCCCCTATTCTTGTTAAAAAAAATGTGGAAAACAAATTAAAAAGAGAGATTCAAAGGGGATTGTTTATGAGATAGTAAAGTTTGAACTACGTCCAGGCTTTGAACATCAAATGTACATCTTATTTACCAAGTAATGTTCCACAGATTGTCCCTGACTGTAAATTTGATATGTCTCTATTCCTAGTTCCTGGGCAAGTCTCAGCAGTCTGGTCTGAGTTTCACATACATAGGCTCCACCCAAATCACAATAACCAAAACCGGGGTCCTGAAATTAAAAGATTAAGAGTGCCTCTACTAAAAGCAGGACTTTTCTGTTATGAAAATAGAATAATGCATTTATCCGCATTGGTAATTTTAGTGCTATTCTAATCACTGAGTCATACAGTCAAGTGTAAGAAAACTTAATTACATGGGAGCTCCCTTCCACGGTGTAAAAACAACAAATTCCCTTGGAAAGAGGATACTGGCATAATGAATAGACCTGAGGCCTGTAAAACTCTCTCTAAATTTCAATCCCCCCTTAAACCCTAACATCAGTATACATTATAATTTTCTTTACTTTCCTCTACACATCTCCCAAAGTGCTGACAAGGCGAAGAATTTGTTTAACAATCAAGAATGTCTTTTAATTAAGTCAATGATCATTTATTTTGTTCTAATGACCTTAATGTGTGATTCAAGAGTGGTATTGTAAGGAGAAATTAGATGTTAGTCACTATTAGGAGTCCATAGATGAAGCAGAATAGTTGCTCCGAAAGCCACCATCCATATCTCAAAAGCTAAGGGATCTTTTTCCAATCTTAAAGGATCAGCTATCTCTATAGGTTCAGTCATATCTAGAGTAGAGAGACAGAATAACCCATATTCAAAAGGAAAAAGCTGGAGCAAAGGCAGTCAGTGGTGGTGGGAGCTTCTTCAAGGGGTTTGGAGGAATGTTTCCAAATAAATGATATTTAAGTTTTCCTAAAAAAGGTGCTCCTTTTTAATTCTCCCATGAAGGGTCTTTTAGGATGAAGTAGAGATTTCAGTTATCCCTACACAAAAGCAATTACACTAAGAATATCAATTTTAAATTAGTAAGCTCTAGCACATGTGATAAGATAGCAAATATAGGGCTTTTGGCAATAATAGTGAGTGAAAAAGTGCACCAGAGTCTGTCTCATATTTTCCCTTCTCTGCTCCTCTGTTTTTACCTGCCCAATTTCATGGCAGGAAAAAAAACTTAAAACAAAGCTAGTTATATATTACTGAAAGTGTAAATAGCCTGCACAGAGCAGAGAGAACCAGGTATCCACAACCTCTGTCAATTCCTGTTAATACTGTTCACCGTATGTCACATGAATTACACAGAAAAGTAAACAGCAACAGCATTAAGTCTAGGTACAAGGGGTGCTCTTCCAGGTGGGGGACATGCAACCTTTTAAGTGTACTAAGTTTTAAAACCTCTCCTGAATAAATGGGCCAAAATTAAAATACAGTAAATTAAATGACAGGACCCTCAGGCTTTTGGAAAGAAAGTGTGAGGTGCAGGTATTAATTATTTAATTTAGAACATAAGTTCGTGATTCAGTTAATGTGGGGGAGACAAAGAAGTATGGTGGACTTCAGAGTATGACTGCTATGCTCAAATCCAGTGGCCAGTTCCTTTGTGCGTGAAAATTAAGCTTAATACAGTACTCAATACCTCCCCCCACCCAAGCAAGATTAAAAAAAAAAATGGAAAATGCAAAGCAGTGAAAGATTAGACGGGCCAGGAAGCATAGGGTGTCATCCGCAATTGACTACTTCCTCATCCAAGAACAAGATGTTTGGAAGAAGTGAGCTTCCTAGAGTTGCAGCGGCTTCTGATGTTGTTATAGACGACGGCTGAGCCGTAAGGCGAAACCCAATCACAAGATTTTGATTGTAGGCCAGACAGACGGTTATAAGAGGTCTTAATTACAATCAGCGGCAGACCACTGGAAACCAGCCATTATTTATTTTATGTGGTTCAAAGGGGGAATAAGGTATGAAGAGGGAGGCACAGTGCCGATGAATCAACATGGAATGTACGGAAGGATAAAGCTGACGAAATGCGTCAACCATTTCGCCCACGAAAAAAAATGGGGGAAAGTATCATTTTTTAATCTCACCGCTATAGTAAAAGTGCGCCCGCCAACGCGGTCTCTTGCTTCGAGAACAACAACCTCGACACCATACTCCTCGTGAAGAACCCGGGCAGCGAACAAACCTGGGAATTACGAGCGGTGTGAATACAACAATTCACATCAAATGGAAATTTATAAAAATATACATTAAGTACCACTTAATCCTGCCCCGATTACTGCAACTTCCACAAAGTTACTTCCATCCTTATCCTCCATTTCGATTCTGCCGACTTGGTTTGCCTATGGTTTCCAGGGCCCACTCAGACAAATTCCTGTTGGCTGCCTCGTTGGGTTTGTTAGTCCAGCGGGTGAACCAAGAGCAAATTTTTTTTTTTTTTTTTTTTTTT